GTTTTTCTATAGACACAAACATAGTCCCAATAGTCTTTACTGCATGAGGGGGCAGGAGGCTCAAAATCTGTGTGTTTGGCAATCAAAAAAAGGGTAAAGTGACAGTAGTAGACCACATTATTGTTCCCAAACATTTACTGTGCCTCTCGGGTGGATTGTACTTCCCCACTCCATCCACAGCAGGCTTGGTTATGTGGCTTGCATTAGCCAATGAAATGCAAATAGCCATATGGGCCACTTCCAAGTGGATGCTTTAAGAGTCTGTGTGCTTCTCAGTATTTCCCTTTCCTGCTGCCCTGATAAGCAGCAACGTTCAGGATAGAGGCTAATCCATCTGCCTCAGTCCCAGAGTGAAGACAACGTGCAACAAAGCCACAGCTGACCTGGGAAGGGCACCAAGCATAAGTGAGAAAAACAACCTTTGCTGATTGGGCCGTTGAGATTTGGGAGTTTTTACCATAATGTAACAGTGCCCATCCTGACTAATGGAGACCCTTTCTGAGTTTGTTTTCCTTTGGTGATCCAAATTTCTGGTGTCATCCACAGGTAAAAGAGGTTGCTTGGGAAGTATGAGAAGATAATAGGAAATGGGATGATTGGTGTAACATAGTGAAGGATTTGAAATTCAGTCCTGATCTGTGGGCTCAGACAAGCCTTTGTAAGATAGGTTCAATGGACCACATTATGTCCTAGAGGAAGTTACAAAGAGGGTTAAGATATAATCCCTGTTCTTTTTTTTTATTATTATTATTTTTAATTTTTGATTCTTTTCCCAGAAGTCCCCCCAGTACATAGTTGTATATTTTAGTTGTGGGTTCTTCTATTTGTGGCATGTGGGACGCCGGCCCAGCATGACTTGATGAGTAGTGCTCAGTCTGCACCCGGGATCCAAACCAGTTAAACTCTATGCCACTGAAGCGGAGCGCGCAAACTCAACCACTCAGCAACGGGGCCGGCCCCACAATCCCTGTTCTTGAGGCAAGGGCCATCCTCATTCATTTTTAAACCTACTAGGTGCCTGGAACCCACTAGGCACTCAATAAGTTTGTATAAATTTTTGTTAAACTAATGCTATGGAATGATCTGGAACCATATCTCTAGTCTCCTAACTCCCTACAAAGGCTCTTCCTATGTGGTGTATTGCCTACTGGGGTCAGGTTAAGGGAACTTGAAGGAGAAGGCTATGGTAATATTATAAGCTAATTTTTATATAATACTTTACAATTTCTATGTCCTTCATTTATTTGAAATGCCACACAAATGAAAAATATCTGGAACATCAGGATCTGCAGGGCTGGAGCATAGTAGGCATTCAGTAAAGGCACACAAACCTCCCTAAGGAAATTACAGAGGAAAAAACCTTGAAGAAGAGCCCGATGGACTTGGCAATGAGAAATCTAGCTTGACGTGCACAGTGGATCAAGTTTTTCAATGGGACCAGATTAAAAGAACATGCAGGTGAAAGTTAACCTCAGACAAACAAAGGTGCAAGACCCTAAGGCCGCACACTTGCCAGGCATCTCCAAAGAGTACGGGGCAGTAATTGAAAAATCTTCCACAGAACATCCTTGAAGCAAGAACCGAAGAAAGTTCTGAAAATGAATTAGGACTGCCCAAATCTGTGGATCAGTCCTTCAAAACCAGGAAGAGATTCAACCTGAGATTGCTACTGTTCACTTAAAAAGTTAAGATACTGCAAATATAACATGCATCTGCTTCTGAAGTATAACAGTGTTGGGCATGATTAGAATATTCAAAGGGCTAACACAAGGTAGAGAAATGAAGAGTTATCCAGTGAACCCATTAGGGTTAACCTTAAGGGATTAACCAAATTGAATAATGTGTACAAAGAGATTCTTTATTTTTTTGCCAGGAGATTACACTGGGGTTTCTTTTGGTTAAAAAAAAAAATAACAGGGGCCGGCCCGGTGGCACAGCGGTTAAATGCACACGTTCCACTTCTCGGTGGCCCAGGGTTCGCTGGTTCAGATCACGGGTGCGGACACAGTGCCACTTGGCAAGCCATGCTGTGGTAGGCATCCCACGTATAAAGCAGAGGAGGATGGGCACTGATGTTAGCTCAGGGCCAGTCTTCCTCAGCAAAAAGGGGAAGATTGGCAGCAGATTTTAGCTCAGGGCTAATCTTTCTCAAAAAAATAAAATAACAGAAATCCTTGCAACTGAAATATTTAAAATGAACTGACTTGATGTATGGGACTTTTTTAAAATACTTCAGAAAAAAATGTGGGGGAGATCTATGAAACAAGACTGGTAAAATGCTGATTCTACAGAAGTTCAGCGGAGGGACAGTGGCTTCTGTCAGCAATAGGGAGTGAAAAAGGAAGTAATATTTTACCTTACTAAATCCCCGTAATGATCCTAAAAGTTGAAGATCACTGTCCCCATTTTACAGGTAAAGAAAACCGAGGTCACATTGCTAGTGAATGGTAATGTAAAGACTTGAGCCTCATAGGATTGCCTATGACTTTGAAATCCTTCCTTTTGCTAACTCCCCACACTGATTATCTAAACATGTTTTCTCAGATTCTGATGTTTTAATGGAAATGAAGAAGAGTTGTTTTTCTATGTAATGGAAACTTATTTGTAATTCCTATATCTTCTACCTTTCCTTATAGATTCTCATCCACCTTTGGGCAACTATTTTGAATAGTTCCTGATTCATGAAGTTGTTTTAATTTTATTTAATCTGAATTCATGATCCACCTATGACTTGCTCCCACTATTCAGCATAGGAGAATGAATGTGGATTTTTTTTTTTTGCAATGATTCTCGAAGCAAGAGATGCCAAAAGGCCTGTGTCCATGCACTCACACACATAAACACAAAGCTTATGTTTAAGTACCTAAGCAGACTTTTTTTCCTTTTTAACCATTTAGCAGTTACTTTATGGCCGTCTATGCCCACTTCAGCCATCTGATCTCTTTTTCTGCCACGTTAAGCATAGCCAAGCTTAACCCTTTTAGTGAAATTTCCTGTTCCTTGCGATCATGAAATATGTCATCTTTGTGCCTATAAATTGCATCTGGATTTGCTCTGTTTCTAAGATGAAATTTACTAGGAATGCTGATGAGATGTCTATCCATTCATTCAGCAAACATTTATTACATGCTAAGTGTGAGCTGGGTACTGTGCTCAGGGCTTGGAGCACAAAGATAAAACCAATAGCTAGAGGGCAGTACAGCATAACAGTGACTAAGTGAGTCTGTGATAGTGATAAGTGAGAGTGATGTGAGTGAGGGTGGGCCCTCTTGCCTAGGGTTAAATCCTAGCCCTGCCACGCGCCAGCTCAATGACTTCAGTTGGGCAAATGGCTTCTTCTCTCTGAGACTCAATTTCCTCATCTGTGAATGGGGGTAATAATAGTACCTACTACACAGGTATGTTGTGAGTTATCTGAAACAATGCACGCGTAGAGTGCTTAACACCATGCTCAGCGCGTGAGAAGTGTTCTAAATGTGAGCTCTTCCTACACCGCAGCATGGTTCATAGAGAAAGGAGAGTGCAGGAAGGAATCTGATCTGACTTTTAAAGAAAAGTTTGCAGACACGAAAACATTCGAATTCAGCTTTGAAGGATGAGTTCAGGTTTGTTGGTGCAAGGTAGGCAGGAAGGTGATTCCAAGGTGGCACAGATTTGAAGGGCCCTTCCATCTGCTGAGCTCCCTAGGGGTTGCGGGGCTGGATCAGATGAGATCTGTTTGGCTACCATCTCACAGTTCAACTCCTTCCTCTGCCCATTCCTCTTTACTTCACTCCCCCACCAGGACTGATCACAAAAGCATACCTCTTCACTCCCTAAAAAAACTTCTTGCCGGCAAACTCCCTCTCAGAGTCTGTTTTTTCAAGGAATCTAACCTACGACATCGTGAATGATACTAATTGTAATTTGAAATAGAGAAATATCATTGATGTGTACAATGTAGAAACCTCACTATGGAGAACTAGCTAGGGGAAATATACATTAATTTATTCATTAAACCATCAGAATGCATTTGCCCAACACTGTGCTAAGGAATATTCTGTATTTCATTACATCTAAGCATCCTTATTATGCATACATAATATTGTATAAATATCCACTTATACAAACTTGGATAAATGCACAGAATGTTGTAAATATGATTCCTTAACCTTTTTCAAATGTTTTTATTTTCGATGAAAACTTCAGATATGCAAATAGACAAATACAATGAACCACCATATATCCATCATCGAGTTTCAACAATTATCAAGTAGTAGCCAATCATGTTTCCTCTAGATGTCCACCCTCACACTCACATTGCCCCTTCTGTTATTTTGAAGCAAATTCCAGACATCAGACCTCATCAATGCACACCTATTTCAAAAGTATATTTCCGAAAGATAAAAACTCTTATTTTAACAAAACATACCATTATCTTATCTAAAAATTAGTGAGAATTTCTGAAGTCACCGGCATTAGTTATATCTTTGATCCATCCTGTCAGTGTTTAAATTTCCAATCACCTTATGAATTTTTAAATTTTTGTTTGTGTGAATCAAGGCTCAAATAATGAATGGAAACGGATGATATGTGTCCCTTAAACCTTTTTTAATTTATGAGTACTTTCTCTGCTCTTTTTTTTCTTGCAATGTATTTGTTGAAGAAACAACACTATTTTTCCTGTAGTATTTACCACAATATGGATCTTGCTTTTTGCTTCCCTGTGGTGGTTTTTAACATATACTCTGAACTCTGTGTTTGTTGTAAATCAGTAGTTGGGTCTAGAAGCTGAATCAGATTCATGTGTGATTTGATGCACAAAGTATCTGGTTATTTCTCCTCCCATTTTTCCCAATTAAATACTTTAAAAATTTTCCTCCCAGGGGCCGGCCCCGTGGCTGAATGGTTGGGTTCGCGTGCTCTGCTTCGGTGGCCCAGGGTTTCGCAAGTTCAGATCCTGGGCACAGACATGGCACCGCTCATCAAGTCACGTTGAGGCGGCATCCCACATGCCACAACCAGAAGGACCCACAACTGAAAATACACAACTATGTACTGGGGGGCTTTGGGAGAAAAAGGAAAAAATAAAATCTTTAAAAAAAAAATTTTCCTCCCAAGAAGTTAGCATAAGTTAGATTGCAAGTTCAGCATTGCAGCTGATGTATAGTCGGACCACCATAGGACAACTGATCTTTAGCCACACCGAAGATTAAATCTAGTCCTACTGTTATCCTATAATCTGTCATCACTATCTTATTATTCATAAAGTATTATTAAGAGGTAATCCTGGCATCCAGGACTGGGCTGGGTACCATGTTATACTAGTTGGAACCATTTATTGAGTCACTACTGTAAGCCAGCTACTTTATTAAGGTTATCTGTAATCATCACAGCAAACCCACAGTGTAAGTTTTATTATCCTCATTTTACAGAAGAAAACTAAATCTCAAGAAGATAAAATTACTTTCCTAGGGCCACACAATTGGCAAATGGCAGAAGCGGAGGTGGTATGTAAACACAGATCTGTCTTGCTCCCAAGGATCTGCTTTTTTTCCACTAACCCCTAGTCCTCTGAAAACACAACTGAATTATAAGAATGATCCCTGCCTTCAACAGGATTATATCTGTGTAGGAGAAAGCGATAAATTACTAAAACAATTAAATACTATCAGATTAACAAACACTATATAGAAGATGAATGATGAAAGTGTGTGCATTTTGCAAGCAGTGATTGCTATAAGTGCACAGGAAGGAGGAAGGGAACCTCAATGTTGATTGAAGTTCCTGGGGGAGGTTTCATCAAGCAATGCAAAAATTATTGCAAATATAAAAGCTTTACCAATGAGCAAAGGGTCCTTTGCACAAGCGTACTCTCCCTTGGGATCCATGTCACAATGACACAAAGATTTCATCACCATGGCAACTGGTCATTGGACCAATGAAATAATCAGTTGTCATGGTAACGTGATCTCCATCTTACTCCCACCAGGCACCTGTTCCAAATCATCACATCCTTCAGCAACCTTGTACCACCTCAGTGCTCCTTTCTTCTTTCCCCTAGTCACCCTGTTATTCCCAGCCACCTATACCTGGGCCACAAAAATTATGGCTTGCTGTGTATATGAGAATATGAAAGCCAGAGCAAAGAAAGTGACTCTGTAGTGTAGAGCTTCACTACAGCCAGGGAGAACACCTCTAGAATGTAAGAGCTGAATGAACCAGAGCATTGAAGAAAGAGAGCATGTGATGCTTCCCTGCTCCATGTTTTCCTAAATACAAATCCTTTGGATTTTGAAACATTGCACCATCCTGCATCTCCTCCTACCTTGCTCTATTCCTTCACTGGCTCCTTTTCTCCTCCTGTCTTCTAAATACAGATGTCTCTCAAGGCTCCACACTTTGTGTCTGCTCTTTCTCTAAACTGCACAGTCTGATACAGTAGCCACCAGCCACGTGATGGTTATAGAGCCCTTGAAAGTATTTATAGATGTGCTGAGCTGAGTATAAAATGCACAGCAGATTTAAAATGCACATACCAAAAAAAAAAGAATGTAAAATATCTCATTAATAATTTGCTGATTACATGTTGAAATGATAATAATTTGGATATGTACGGTACAATAAAATATATTATTAAAATTTAACTTCCTCTGTTTCTTTTTTAATGTTTTTATTGTGGTTACTGAAAAATTTAGTTACAAGAGTGGCTCACACTCATGGCTTGTATCATATCCTATTGGACAGCACCGCTCTAAACTTTCCCCCTAAGCCTTCTCACCCATGCTCCAGATGTCAAGTATCTCCTCTAGGAAATGATTCCAGGATCCCAAACCCCAGCCTCTTTTCTGAAATCCAAACTCACGTTTCCAATGGCCTTCTGGCCCTTTCACAGATGCCACCAGCCCCTCAGCTCAGAACAAGCAAAGCCATGAGCTTTCTTCCCTCAAAACCTGTTTTCTCCTAACTGGCTTTATTCACCTTTTGTGTTACTTTCTTAGTGCTGCTGTAACAAAGTATCACAAACTGAGTGGCTCAAAACAACACAATTTTTCTTATCTTAGAGTTCTGCAGGTCAGACATCTGAAATGGATCCCGCTGGGCTAAAATCGAGGTGTCGCAGGGCTGCATTCCTCTGGAGGCTCCAGGAGAGAGTCCATTTCCTCACCTTTTCCAGCTGTGAGAGGCTGCCAGCATTCTTTGGCTCATGATCCCCTTCCATCTTCAAAGCCAGCAATGACTCGTCAAGCCTTTCTCATGCTGCCCCACTCTGGCATTGAGTGTCTTGCTTCCCTCTTTCACTTCTGAGGACCCTTGTGATTACACTGGGCCCATCAGGATAATCTCCCCATTTTGAGGTCAGCTGATTAGCAACTTCGTTTTCATCTTCAATCTCAATTCTCCCTTGCCTGGTAATATAACATATTTGCTGGTTCCAGGGGTTAGGGTGTGGACATCTCATCTGAAAGGGCTGGGCAGAGAGAGAACATCTGTGTGCAAGGCCAACAAGAAAAGAAATGGTAATCAGAGCAGATCAGAGGACAGCTCTCGTTGCTTTCAAGGCGATTGTCGACAGGGAGCAGTTAAAGAGACTGGCTGGTACGGACATCATTGGTTTAACGCTTCTCACAGTTCACTGCCGAGTCTACCTCCCCTAAGACTCCTTTCCTGATCACACCTTTCCCCAGTTACACCTTCCCTCCCTGATGGCTTGGGTACCTCCTTGGACATCTGTCTTATTCTTTTTGTATCATGATTATGTATGTAAGCACTTAGTCTTAACCTCTCTACTATGTTGGAAAATATTTTGTGAATAGGAACTATTTGCTTCACCTTTGTGTTTAACCATGATGCCTAACATGGTACTTAATATAGAGTAGCTTCTCAATAACTATTTTTTTCAATTTAATTGAATGGAGATAACTTGTGTTGACTTATAGAGCATGTGCTTTTTCACCACAGCTACTGGTTACTTTAAACAGTAATCACTCTCTTAATTGACTTCCACTTAACTGATACTCTTCATTCTGTCTTAAAAGAACCATCAGTGTAATCCTTGCAGCTAATGGGCTACTGTGCACTTGAGATATATGCTCATCCAGGGTCAGCTGTATTTTATTTCATAACCTATTGGTGCCAAGTGTACTTGATATTATAATTATATAATTTAATTTAAAGTTATGTAAACAATGTAATATGAATGTCAGAAGAATGAGAATTTTTTCTGCAAAGACTAAGTTGATTATCCCAGAAATGCAGGAAAGTGCAGCATCCTAAAACCTATTAATGTAGTATACCACTCGAACAGATTGAAGGAGAAAAACTAAACTGATCATTCCAATAAATGCAAAAAAGGCATCAACAAAATTTAACACTCATTATGATTTTTAAAATTTTTTTAAACTGGGATTAGAGGACCACTGTCCGTATTTACAGATAATATGATTTATTACATATGAAACCCTTAGATAATGCACAGAATAGAATCCATCAAAACCAGTAAGGGAATTTAGCAAATTTGCTGTATTCAAGATCAACGTGAAGAAATCAGTAGCCTTTCAACGTCAGTAAATATCTAGAGCTTGGGGTAAGAACAAAGAGCCTATTCTCGATAGTGACAAAAATAACAATTCCTCGGAATTGATCTGACAAAAAGTGTGTAAGGTCATTGTGAAGAAAGTTACAAAACTGAAGAATACACATACCTACACAGAAAGAGAGAGACCTGAATAAATGGAGAGATCTACCAGGTTCATAAACTGGGAGATTCAGTATCATAAAGATGTAAATTCTTCCCAAACTGGTTCATAAATTCAATATAATTCTGAATGAAATCCAAATATGACTATTTGTGGAATTAAACAGACTGATCTTGAAATTCATGTGGAAGAAGAAAAGGACAAGACAGTTTTGAAGACGTAGAACAAAATAGGAAAACCGTTCCACCAGATATCAACTTATTTTAAAGTTACAGGATTTAAGATGGCATGATATTGGCTTAGGGATAGACAGATTGGCAAATGGAACAGAAAAGGGATCCCAGAAAGAGGTCCATGAATATATGCAGACTTGATGTATTCAAAAGTGGCATTACAAATATAGGGGGGAAGAATGAACTATTCAATAAATGAGAAATTTGGTTGTAAAGGATCCAAATAATACACCTGGACCCACTTGCCTCCCGGGAGCCCCAGTCGCTACTGATGTTCCTTCATCTCTTAACGCATCTAGCTTTCTCAGTCTCACTGTAGAGTGAGAGCCTGGCTTTGGTGTGGCCTCCATTGCTCCAGATAGGGCAGAAGACACAATGGCTCTGGTGCCCGGGGCCCCACCCTACCAGATTCATGGAGGATATGGCTCTTTCATCATTGTCAGGCTCAGATAAAGCATTAAGCACCAGAGAACAGCACTGGTGGCTGGCTTTCCCACTGGCTACACAGAGAAAATGTGTAACTCAACCTGGAAGTGAATTAACTTCCAATGGGACAAATTTCAACCAAGAACCGGGAAGAGAAAAGAGGAGCCAGCAGGGGGCCGGCCCAGTGGCCTAGCCGTTAAGTTCACACGTTCCCCTTCAGCGGCTGGGGTTCACCGGTTGTATCCTGGGTCTGGACATGGCACCGTTTGGCAAGCCATGCTGTGGCAGGCGTCCCACATATAAAGTAGAGGAAGATGGGTACGGATGTTAGCTCAGGGCCAGTCTTCCTCAGCAAAAAGTGGAGGATTGGCAGCAGATGTTAGCTCAGGGCTAATCTTCCTCAAAAAAAAGAGGAGCCAGCAGATAAATTGTTTGCTGTTTCTGCTCTCTCTGATGGACTGTTCTGAGGTGTGGTGCTTCCACAGAACCTGTCAAGATGATGTCCTGGGTGACCAAGGCTGGATTTCCTTGGGAAGTTGTGGCCAGCTTGTATTTACTTTCTTTACTTCCACACTTCATTTCCCTTTTCCCTAATTCTTGCTGCCATGGGATGGCCCTTCTCAATATCTGTGCCTCAGGCTCTGTTTTTAGAGAACCTGGGCTAAGACTATTATATCTACAGAAAAAAAAGAAAGCTAGGTCCCTACCCCAACACCATACCAGCAAGCATATCCAAGCAGAATAATGACCTAAATATGAAAAATAAAGCTTTAAAACATTTTGAGGAGAATGTTAGGAGAAGCTTTCCTTCAGAATAAGCAAGTATTTCTTAAAACCCAAAAACATAAACTATGACAGAAAAAGATTGATAAATGTGATTACCTATAATTTAAAAGCATTTATTTAACAAAAGATGACATGAACAAAGATAAATTACAAGCCTCAATCTGAGAAAGATATTTGCAATTCATTTAATTGACAAGGATAAGTGTCTAGAATTCAACAAAATTCCTACAAATCAAGAATAAAAGATAACCAATAGAGAAACGGGAAAAGGACAGAAACAAGCAATCCTAAAAGAGGACTTTTGGAGGGCCAATAATCATATGAAAAGATAAGGAACCTCATTATCGATTAGGCAAATCAAAATAAAACCACTTGAGGTACCATTGCACACCCGTCTAACTGGAAAAAAATTTAAAAGAATGATAGCATGAGTGTTGGATATGGAGCAGTGAACTCTCATACACTGCCAGTGATAGCATAAGTTGTCACAACCATATTAGAAAATAATTTGACAATATACTTGTGAAGCCGTACGTGCCCTTTGACCTTCAAATTCCATTTTTGGTATATTGGCTAGGCTAGAGAAACTCTCACGTATATATACAAGGAGATGTATGAAGGAATGATCCCTGCAGTTTTGTTTGTAATAGAGAAAAACGGAAATACAGTAGCCCCCCTTATCCATGGAGGATATGTTCCAAGACCCCCAGTGGATGCCTGAAACCACAGATAGTACTAAATCCTACACATACTATGTTTTTTCCTGTCCATCCATACCTATTATAAAGTTTAATTTATGAATTAGGCACAGTAAGAGATTAACAAAATAATAATCTATAATAAATTGTGCTGTAATAAAATAGAACAATTATAGCAATATATAGTCTATAAAAATTACCATAAATCGTAGCAATTTCAGCATACAATTTTTTTTTTTTATTAAGTCGAGAACTTTCAGCTTTTCACTTAAAGGAAGCACTTTATGGCTTCTCTTTAGCATATCCGAATTGCCAGCTTTGCTACTCTTGCACTTTGGGGTCATTATTAAGTAAAATAAGGGTTACTTGAGCACAAGCACTGTGATACGGTGACAGTTGATCTGATAACCAAGACAGCTACGTGACTAATGGGTGGGTAGAGTATACAGCATGGATACACTGGACAAAGGTTCATGTCCTGGGCAGGACAGAGCTGGACGGGGCAAGATTTCATCATGCTAATCAAAATGGTGTGCAATTTAAAACTTATGAATTGTTTATTTCTGGAATTTTCCATTAAATATTTTCAGACCACAGTTGAGTGCAGATAACTGAAACCGTGGAAAGTGAAACTGCAGATAAGGGGGGACTACTGGAACTCAAATGTTCCACAAGAGAAAAAATAAAATAAATAAGTTTTAGAATATTTACAAAATACTATGCAGCAGTTCAGACGAATTAACTAGAGCTACGGATATCAACAAGGATATCATAATGATGAGAGAAAAAGATCAAGTTGCAGAATAATACATACAGTATGATGTGGTTTACACATGGATTCAAAACACGTAAAACAAAGTCACATATTTATTAACACACGTACGTAATAAGTATAAAAACACATAAGGTAAACCTAAACCCTGACTTCAGGATGATTGTTGTGGATGGGGAAAGTGAAATCAGCACGGAGTGTGCAGGACATTTCAACTTTATCTGTTGGGAAAATCTTGGGGCCGGCCCTGTGACTAAGGGGTTAATTGTGCACACTCTGCTGCGGCGGCCCAGGGTTTCACCGGTTTGGATCCTGGGCGTGGACATGGTACCCCTCATCAAGCCATGCTGAGGCAGTGTCCCACATGCCACAACTAGAAGGACCCAAACTAAAACATGTAATTATGTGCTGGGGGGATTTGCAGAGGGGAAAAAAAGAAGAAGATTGGCAACAGTTAGCTCAGGTGCCAATCTTTAAAAAAAAAAAGAAAAATCTGAAGTATGGCAAAATGTTAGCATTCATACAGCTGAGTGTGGGCACAGGTGTCCCTTCTGTTTTTCTCCTTGTATGTTTGCAACATTTCATTAATTTTTTTAAGCTAAGTGGAATGTTTTGAAAACACTCAATAAAGGCTGAGTTCCTGAAAAACGAAAACAAAAACTACCATTGAAATAAGTGTGTGCAAAACAATTGTAAGAAGTCGGGTAAATAATTCTAAGTAGTTTAAAGTCCTGAACACAGATTTCTTTCCCAGGTGTGTTTAAGTTCTTGCTTCACTTTAAAGAAAAACAAACAGGAAATCATAAAAATACACAATTGTTGAGCCTGGTTTGTTCAGGAAAGATAATGCAGAGCTCCAATCAGTGGGCTCGTTCT